CCACTTTGCAGCTGACTTGTGTGGTTCCAGTAACTATGCAAATGGAAACTGGATCATGGTTCGTGAATGGTCTGCCGGTGTCAAACAATGCAAAGTATTCAATCACCAATTCACCTCCCACACTGACTGTTCAGGACATGAGCAGTGGTGACAATGGTAAGCAGATAACCAACTTATTATTTTTAGGTTAAAATAAATCAACCATGAGTGAGTATTAATGCACAATAAAGAGTGGCAATAGTGATGGTATTATATGATGAGTAATGTGGTATACTCTCTCTCTCACACTCTATCACTCTCTATCTCTCTCTTTGGATTAGGTTTATATTATTTTGTGGGGACCATTTTTTTTGCTTTTGATACATCCAATTACCAATTTCTCAGATTGCATGCACTCAGCATTATCCAAATGTTACAAATTTAATTATCACTCATCTATTAAAATCTCGGTAATTTAGATATTTGTTAACAAAGGTATTTGGCAAGACTGACACCTTTTATAGTATGTTACTAATAGGATGTAATTTATTGAATGCCATAATACTGACAATAAAATATTTGTCATAAAATTAAATATACTCAGTGACAAAAAAGTTAAGCACCCAGACTGAGTGGTGGAAATGAAATGATCTGCACGTGGTGAAAGGTCATGTGACTATATCGCAATGAGTATAATATAAGAGCAAACGGACAACAGAGTTGGCAGTATGGGCACATTGCTAGTCCCATGTCATTAGGGTGTGGCAGCCCCCCCCCCGGGCCTGCATAAGTGTGGTGATATGTTGCGGAAGGGAGTCGTACAGCTGTTTTATCCTCCCCTGCGGCAAGTCGGCCCACAGCTGTTGGGACTGGCCCTCAAGATCCTGTAGATTGGGAAGATAGGGGACCTGACTGGCCTCAGGAGGACCTCAAGGTTACCCAGGCAGACCATAGATACAAGTGCTATGCGTGGACAGGCGTTGTCTGATTGAAAAACTGTACCAGGGTGCTGTCTCAGGAGGGGTAAGGCATGCAGACACAGGATGTCACTGACGCTGTGCCGCCAGGGTCCCCCGAATCACTACCAGAGATGACCTGAAGTCATACCCTATGGCATGGGCGTTGCCGCCATTAAATCTGAGGGGTACGTGTCCCCCTTACATTTCATAATTATTCATTTGGGCCCCCACACATTTAACATTAAACAATAGTTCACCCAGCGCTGTTTTCCAGTGTGTCCCACCCCACATTCAAAATGCTTCTGACGCCCCTACCCTATGGCTCCCCACACCATGATGTCATACCCTATGGCTCCCCACACCATGATGTCATACCCTATGGCTCCCCACACCATGATGTCATACCCTATGGCTCCCCATACCATGATGTCATACCCTATGGCTCCCCACACCATGATGCCTGGAGTATCACTGGTGTGTCTCTCCACAACATTGGAAGGATTGGTCCTCTCCCCTCGCCATTGCCATACGCGCACATGACAGTCATCCGTGGTAATGCAGCACCGAGATTCATTGCTGAACATGGTAGGACGCCACTCGTCATGAGTCCATGCCTCCCTGTTACGGCTCCACTGCAAAGGCAGCCATGTCTGTGCTGGTGTTAACGGCAGCCTACGCATGGGACCGTGAACCTGTAGTCCGGCTGTTATCGACTGCGGGATAACACGGGGTGTTGTAGAGAGTCCAATACCTGTGTATGGATGGCATTGGGTTCTGTACTGCTTGGCGCACAATACAACGATTCTCCCTTGTTGTGGTCTGTCTTGGGCACCTGGATTGATGTCCTAACATCGGGCGACTGTAACATCTTCATGCCCCACATGCTGGTCAATTGCACGATACAACCACCCAGCCCCATGCAAACCCACAATGCGACCCCTATCAAACTCTGTCAATTGCTGGTAATGCCGTCTAATGCCTAATGTCTAGAGGCATCCTCTGTGTCTGGTGACTAGACATGCCAGCTCCTTGCAAATCGAAACAATTACAGTACATACCCATCACTGGTCTGCAAGTGTACCAAATTACATCCAAATTGAACCATTACTTCTGGGTGCTTAACTTTTTTTCTCACTGAGTGTTTATCTATATAAATAAATCAGTAAATATGTCAATAATTAATTAATTTTATTTTTAAATAATTCAATAAAAATTATTACATTTCATAATAACGTGTCTTTATGTATAATTTTTATATATTGTATTTCGCAAAAATGTGATTTTTATTAGTCATATAGTTTATTATATTATTTTACATAATGCAAATCTGATTACTTAAATAATTCAAACTATATTTCACAATAAATTTCAGCTTTTCACATTGATGTATTTCTGAATGACGGTTCTTCAATGACCGCTGTCCGGCGAGCAAGCAGGAAGCTGGGAATCATCAAACGAGCAGACAGAGATTCAGAAAGACTGGGTTTTAATAGGGAAAGCACGAGCAACACTAACCACATGGTACAAACGTTAATGACAGATCTGGGAAATGGACGAGGACGTGTACTGATATACACAGAACAAGCCAAAAATAACATCAAACAGCTTGGAACAATCAGAGTAGAACATGTGGGTAATAAGGGGGCGTGGCACACACGAGGATCGGACGAGCTGGGCGTGACGGGTTCTATGAACCAGCTTTTTATTTCATGATGCCACAGCGCTCTGTCAATCACTTTGAGGGCAGTGGGACTGAGCCTGTGATTTGCGAATCCTTTGTGATTCATTACTCAGCGTAGCAGATATAGGAAGTACTTAGTTGGATGTGTAGAGTAGCAGAGCAAATACAGGAAAGAGGCTCTGTCATGCCAAACCTCTTACCCCTATGAAACGGCATCGGGGTATACTCTGCGAGATAGAAAACATCTCCACATGGCATTTTCCCCTCTAAACACAGTAAACATTCCCGTTTAAAAAAACCCATGTAGACATGCATTTCTATACTGCGTCTACATGGTACAAATGTACATGTTAAGAAAGGTCTTTCAGTACTAAGATAAACCCAGACTAATACTGATCTATTCAAGGGTTCAGTCTGTACTGCATTATATTGGTTGCCATTTGATAATATTTCAACTTTTAATAACCACTGAAACTCAAAATCTGGGAAAAATTTCAACTAATGTTTTCTTGGGAACACTTTATCCAATCACTAGCTCAATTCCACCCACCCAAAGTGATTGACAGAGTGCACCATTATTATGAAAAGAAGCATTATGAAATAAAAAGCGGGTTTGGAAACGCAACATTCAGGAATACATCAATGTGAAAAGTTGAACTTTATATTTTATAAATGAGCTCCCTGGCTAAGGTGCTTGGTAATATTTTTATCTGCTGTCAACTGTGAATAATATCCATGTTTTTTGCCATTTTTCTCTTTATAATCTAGGAAATTACACGTTCACGATGACTCAGTCGACCTTGACATTCACCCGCAAGGAATCCATTTCAGTGACAGATGTCATTCCTCCCATTATTCAGCTGAATAAATTAGCAATTAATGTTCAATGTGGAGCAAATGAAAATATCACATTGGAGTGTTGTGTTACATACTACCTAATTAACAACGTTATAGCAAAATGGATGGACGGCCCTGACGAAATATCCTCTGGTAATTTTTATTCTTCAAAATAACTAATTGTTTTATTGTCCTTTGCCAAGTTCCTGTACATTGTCCTACGGATATATAATTTACATAAGCAGTAATTATTTGATATTAGTGTATGCATAATTTTCGTTAAAAGATTAAATTGATTTAATGACCAGTTTGAATATTCGATCTGTTGAACATTGCAGTTGAATATTGTACATTTCATTTTTTTCATTTTACAGTACCGACCACAACAAACAAGCTATGTGTCAGTGCTGCATACCCAGTACCAAAGCAATGCAATACAAAGGAACTCACATGCCAAGTGATTGTCAAGAAAGAATCTACAACTCCACCACTGACAGATCATGTAAAGCTAATGTTTTTCAGTGGAGGTACGAGGTTAATGAGTGTTTAAAAACAAGCGGTCCTATTCAGAATGCAGCCCTATTCAAAATGAATTTTCATTTCCTTTGTTAAAAATGCACAATGCAATGAATTTTGTCCATTAGCACCATTTCTGAAAAGTACTTATTATGTAATCCCAATAGAAGCATGTGTTTGCTTTTCAGCTTAAAGCATTAATCCAAATTTGTCTTTATTTATTCAAGCACCTGACTGTAAGGACCCCACAACATATGGTCTTGGGAAGAATGGAAATACATCTACTGTTTCCTGCCCAGCCAATTTTACGGGCAGCAGGACTGCAGTTTGTGAAAATGGGAATTGGACCCTTGTGGAGGACAATTGTGTCTTTAGCATAATAAAGACACTAGAACTGTTTTCTCAGGTAACATCTTTTGAATACTAATCATCCATCCACCCACCTGTTGTCATACTGCTTACCCAGTATAAGGTGATACAGTACATTAATCATATATACATTGTGTCATTCTGAAGACTGTTTCCACACGTTGTGCATGATAATACAGTGATAAGGAGAACATGCAGACTCCACACACACAGGGCGTAGATGTGATTTGATTTCCCAGCCCTGTAGATGTGAAGTAGCAGTACTATCCACTCAGCCACTGTGTCATTTCATATAGGTTAAGCTTACATTATATATTGCATTTGAAGGAAACTATTTATTGGGAAAGAATGTCATGTTTCATCTAAAATTTAGTTTTATGGAACCAATTGCTCTGTTGTTAGACCACTTGATTATCTGCTATCTGTTATCAAAACATTGTGGTCATTTAAAATACCAAATTTCAATGATAGAAAAAGTCATGTCGTCATCATCAACAAATTCAGTGTGAGTTAGCAATATGTGAGATTGTGTTGTTTTCTACAAATCTTACTATTTTTACACAATTAATTGGAAGTTACTTACTATTCCAAAGCATTGGTACTTGGTGAGAACATTTGCTTTAAAAAACCTTTCTAATATTCTTCTGCTCATTTTAAATTCTTGTTTACCTGTCCGCAGAGTCTGAGTCCAGCTAATGTATCATCAATTGTGAATGACCTTAGGGTAACCACTACCAATTATACAACAATCATAACGCATTCAAAAGCCACCATTATCTCTATTGTGAACATACTTGGCATAGTTGCAAGTGTTTCACAAAATATAAGCAAAACTTCAATGCAGGTATGTTGAAGCAGTAATGTTTTTTGGAGGGGGGTTGCTTTAGTTATTTGCTTTGTATTGGCTATGCATTGGTAATTTAAGAATTAGCACCATGTTTCATAACTTTGTGTAAATATGAAGGAAATTATGTTTATTTAATACAAATATTTCAAGCACTGATTAAAAAAAACTTTATCAACTATAACCCTAAATCCTAAAATTATGTATATACTTAATATAATTATTACATTTTACCCATTTATTCTGTGATTTATGTATTTATTTATTCATTTGCAGGATGTTTTGGAAACAGTATCAGTTTTAGTATCGGCCCAAGCTAAGGAATCCTGGGCAGGACTCAACAGTAACAACAGAACCCAAAACACAAGTTCTGCTTTACTGGAGTCAATAGAAAACATTACACACAGTCTATCAAGCAATTCCTTTACAATTATTACAACAAACATTCAGTTAAACAAAACAACATTAACATTCCCTTTCAATGAAACATTGAATTCATCTCAAATTTTCATCCCAATTCAAGATCTTCCCAACAACACGAGTATCACAACAATCGTCTTTACGACTCTTGACTTTGTCTTACCTAACAGGACCACTGGAAACAGTACGAACAACTCCATCAATGGAATTGTCATGTTAGCCTATATAAAGGAAGCCATTAAAAATGTTTCGCTGACATTTGATAAAACAAACAAAACAAAGGGAAACAACCAGTGTGTTTTTTGGAACTTCAAACTTTTTGAAGGCACCGGAGGCTGGGACTCTACTGGATGTCAACTGGATTCTGAAACGAATGTCAATGTCACCTGTTCCTGTAACCACCTGACTTCCTTTTCAATATTAATGTCACCTTACGTACCTGAATACATTGAGGATGCTCTGAATTACATCACGTACATTGGAGTCAGCATATCAATGGGATGCCTGGTCTTATGCCTTATAATTGAAGCATTTGTGTGGAGCGTTGTCACTAAGAACAGCACGTCACACATGCGACACGTCGCTATAGTGAACATTGCTCTGTCTCTGCTGATTGCTAACATATGGTTCATCATTGGAGCAGCGGTGTCAAACGTAGGCCAGAGCACACCGGAGAAAGCATGCAGTGCTGCAACCTTCTTCATTCACTTCTTTTACCTTGCCTTGTTCTTCTGGATGCTGATCTCAGCTCTCTTCCTCTTCTACCGTACAATGATGGTTTTCTCCCACATGTCAAAGCGCACTATGATGGCCATCGCCTTCTCAGTGGGCTACGGGGCACCACTCATCATTGCCATAATCACCATTGCAGTCACTGCCCCCAAACATGGCTACTTCAGGCAAGATGATGCATGTTGGTTGAACTGGTACCAGACTAAGGCCCTCCTGGCATTTGTGATTCCAGCCTTGACTATTGTCATTGTGAACCTGTTCATTCTAATCGTGATTCTGTTTAAACTACTGATGAGGGGTGTTGGTGAGAACCGTCAGTCTGAGGAGAAGAATGCTCTGGTGGTCATCGCAAGATGTGTCGCAGTTTTAACTCCCATCTTTGGCATCACCTGGGGACTTGGCATAGGGACCATGGTGGCACCCGCAAATCCCGGAGTTCACATTGCATTTACAATCTTCAATTCACTTCAGGTATGAGTAAAAATTAAATAATTCCTGCTGTTTCTGTTTTCTGAAATTAAAATAGTATTTTATTTATAATACATATATAGAACAAAATATACATAACAACAAAAAGAACAAAATATACATAACAACAAAACAAAAAATTGTGGATGATGTCTTCCATTCCCTCACTTCCCAGCTGTCAGACCANTTCATTCTAATCGTGATTCTGTTTAAACTACTGATGAGGGGTGTTGGTGAGAACCGTCAGTCTGAGGAGAAGAATGCTCTGGTGGTCATCGCAAGGTGTGTCGCCGTTTTGACTCCCTTCTTTGGCATCACTTGGGGACTTGGCATAGGGACCATGGTGGCACCCGCAAATCCCGGAATCCACATTACATTTTCAATCTTCAATTCACTTCAGGTATGAGTAAAAATTAGGTACTTTCTGCTGTTTCTATTTTCTGAAATAAAATTTGGTATCAAATTTAAATGTGGTATGACTTGTGTAGTGGAGGTCAGAATGAAAAGGTTATGGATAATGTTTTCTATTCCCTCACTTCCCAGCTGTCAGACCATGCAATGTTTAATTATAAGTAACAAAAAGAGTTTTATTTTAGTCAAGGGAATCCAGGTGTTCGGGGGGTCAGTGAAGCCAAAACAGCAAACCAAAAATCGTACTAACTAGATGAAAACAACCTCTCTAAGCGAAACAAAAAGTATTATACAACTGCAGCTCCCTTTCCTAAACAAAAACAGGAGAAAAGTTAACTTAAAAAGCATTCACCCTGTTAAGTCTCATAAAATGGAAAGAAAGAAATACAAGCACACATCACACACATTGACGCAAACACCTCTGCACCCACAACAGGAAGTGTTGGGTATGACGGCAAAGAGCGATTTGGTAGCCTCTGGTGGACGACCCCCCAAACAAAAAAGCCAGTTCACCAGCCTTTTTTTCATTGTGATAATTCTTTGGATCTACACTTTCATAATTCACTCATAGTTGTAACGTGATAGAGAACAATATTGAAAAGTAGAATAACAAAATATTTTTCAGATTGAAATTTTTTTGAAGTTTTTAAGTAAATACTAATTATTCTTTTTACTTTTTTTCAAGGGGTTCTTCATTTTAGTATTTGGGACTCTTTTAGACAGCAAAGTAAGTACTAATATTGTATTTGGAATATTGTTGGCTGTGTATTATTATACATTGTAACGCAAACACATGTTATATTGTACCAGCCACCATCATACATCCCTTTTCTTTGTGCACAGATTCGATCAGCAGTTGTTGGAAGATTTTCATTTTTGCGTTCATTATCTAGCCGAACAAGGGTATGTTCATCTTTCTATTTCGCCTTTCGATTGCAGTTTTCAGCAGACACTTTTTGCATCATTTTTTTCCATTTGAAAATCCTTTGAAAACCACTTACACTATGATTTTTTTTTATGTGAACTGTACATTTTTTAGGGGATTTAATGTGGCTGTAGCAGATATGTTTTTAACCACAAATGACATAATACAGTTTCAGAACAACAACAAGTATTCTGTTTAACTGAGAAATCGTATGACTTTAGGTACAGTAAATATGACAAAATTTGCTATTTCCAGTATCAGAGATAAGATAAATGATGTATGGTTTGTCTCTCTAACAGAGCACAAGTGCTGGTCCATCTTTGTCCTCTTTGGCTGAACGTTTTAGGCGAAGGAGACAAAGTAAGTTAAATTGCTCTGCTTTATTATTTTATAAATGTTTTTACTGAGATATACTCTGCTTCAGGTATGGATCTAGACTGCTCAGGTTGGGGGGCAATTAAAAATTTTGGGTGGGCAGTTTTTCACACAATGGACAGTACTACAGTGCAGTGGTGGCTTGTGACCAGAGACATAGGGGGCAGGGGGTGGGGGTGGTTATGGGTATATTCATATTTTATGTTTGAACTATTTATGAACTCAACATTATGCTCTCTTGATCATCTCTCTAATCAGAAAAAAAGACAAATTATTATTACTTTTATTATTATTATGTGATTTTTCAAGGTGCTTCGGATAGAAGTCTGCTAATGAGACATAAACTTGACAAACATAAACGTATCTACTGGCATATTAAAGGAAAATTTGGAACTCAACCTCATTAACTGGTATATAAGAACATAAGAGCAGAACATGAACAGTAATGCGGAGTGGAAGGATGCTCCTTAAAGATAATTACCAAACCATAAATAAACTGCCTTTGCAAACTGCACAGCGTTGGTGTGAAATGGGCAGGGAAGGTGTAACATTACTGCCTGAACCGCCCGCAGCAGCGGTTATTCAAAGGCTCTAAGGCTTGAAGGCTTGGTTATACAAGCTAAGGGCAGGTGCAGATGAACTGGTGGTAGCAAGCTTTCATTTGGGAACCAAAAATTCTTGTATGTTATTTATGGTTGTGTATGACTCATTTAAGTGAATTATAGTAGGTAATCTATCTAAGCAGGCAATTTAATTTGTATTGAGCACTGGTGATAAAACTGTTACATGCAAGTTGTCAACCCTGCACTAATATCAACGTAAGCAATCTGTCAATTGTTAAGTACAGTAGTGCACCCATATCTGCAGGGGAAATGTTCCAAGACCTCCCACGAACATCTGGAACTGTTGATAGCAGCGAATACTATAAATTTCTTGTTCTTCGTATACCTATGATAAAGTTTAATTTATAAATTACACTGAGATGGCGGCTACCAAATCAGCAGATATACGGAGGTTCCACTATACACTATATAGTTTTGAGCCAACAGTAATGTTAACCACAGTAGCTAGTTAACTATCTTAGAGTTAACTAAACCAGAACTGGCAAAGATCCTTATGCAACACATTACAGCAAACTACAGCAACAAAATATAAACTTTAACAAGAAGGACCTTTGATAAGAATAAGGCAAAATTCCTCCTCCATTTTCTCAAGCGAGTACAAATGCTCTGCAGAAGAATATCCGATGGGACAAATTAAATAAAGGTGATTGGCAGATGCAGATGGTGTGGGATAAAGTTGACCAATTGGGTGGCCAGAGCAGAAATTTGGGCGGGCATTGCCCACCACTGCCCACTTCTAGATCCGACCGTGCTCTGCTTTCTGATTAGGATGCTTTGTGTCTGCTTTATAAAGATTTGGGAGACTTTAAATATTTTTCGTTATACTGGTGCTACATGTGGAATTTAATCCGTGTAATTTGCCATTTGGAGTAAAACATCCAATGCTTTTAATTTTTCAGATGTTTCTGCTTCTGATTCTTCAACAAGTCTGAGGGCTTCGGATGCATTAATCAGTGCTTAGCTGCCTGGCTGCTCAACTGATGGTGCGAATTTTTCTCAGAAACAGCTACAGTAAATGGTTTTACAAAAAATATTAAATAGAGAAGTAATAAATAATAATAATAATAATATATTATTATTAATTAGAAATTAATACAGTGTGTATCCCTGAGTGGCGTGTATATTGTTGATTTCTCTGGCTGTGCTGCTGCTAATATTAAGCTGATAGTGGCTGTTAATAATTTTTTTACTCTTTTCATATGGGTCTGATGCATCGAAACCATTCTGTGCCATTAAGGGTTGTTGAGTTTGTAATATTCATTATCCCTCCTCCAAATAATATATTTGTTTTTTGGAACGTTGGATGTTTAATACACTTGTAATCTGACTGCCTGTGGTTGCTTTTTAAATACTATTATTTTTCTTTATAAAGGGAAGATTTGGTATTCCAAAAATGTTCACATTAAAATTCGTTTAAAAATTATTTTTAAATAGTTGCCAAAAACTGAGAATTGTCTTATAATCAGAGTCGTCTTTTATTCAGACCAATACAGTAATTTTTTTAGTCTTGGTTTTTTGTCACTTTTAAGTCACTGGATATTTAGATTTATCTCCTTTTCTGTGAACACAAACACTATTTAATCACATGTTTTCAGTAGCAATGTTAGTTTCTCTACATTTTTAATGGAAATATAATGAAACATTTATCAGTAAAGTATAATGAAATATGTATGATTCTGTCAGGCTTATCTCATTGTGGTAATTATTCAGCCTATTTTAATAATGTAATATGGTGTCAATAATATAATCAATTTTGTGTTTCATATTTTGGGCTGTGTAACATTATCTATAATAAAACTGATGAGGGTATTTCTGCGAATTGGTGAAAACCGTGAAGTATTTAGATTAAAATATTTTTTATACTAATAATGGTGGAAAAGTAAAGCAAAAAAAAAAACAATGCATTTTCACAAATCATGGGGACCTAAAGATAAATTGTTTGGACATGGTAAGAAATAACTAAAGGTATATTCAACCTTAGTAATAAACCTATACAACCTCAACATGAAATAGACATTTCTAACTGTTGCTAGACTTTGGGCATATGTTAGCTTAGAGTCCAGGTTTATGTGCTTGGCGTCTCGTAATTACTGTTATAATTACAGCAAAAACAAGAACGCCTGCCATACCTCCACTTATCCGCTGTGTCTCACAGCTCTTGCTAGTGTAGAAAATGGCCTTTCCAGACGCACACCTGAATGGGAAAATACGTCAGGTTTAGCTCTCAGCTGTCCAAAGGCTTCTTTGCTCGAAAAACATTATTAGCAGTGAAAAAATGTGCAATTAGAATAATGTCAAACAGGATAATTAAGATTTTTTTATTATAAATGCCATGTGGAGTTATTCTACATGATAAACAAATAGTGGTAAACTAAGAGAGCTCACCCACTTCACTACAAAATTAATAGGTATGACTGCTGCTGAACATGCCACACAATTAGGCTGTTAGATTACAGCTGTTATCTGAACATGACATTACCAAACATTTCGTCGAGTCATTTTTAGTTAATTTGCAGTTATTCACTACAACATGGTTTTGTTGTTGATGGCGTATCTACTGTGGCAGCCCGGGGTAGCACGTGCCACCCTAAATCTCTTGCCACCCCTAGTGCCACCCTAGTTTTGCATGTGAAAATACTGTTTATTAAAATACGCTAACATTAATGCTTTGAGCAAGTCTAGCTACAATTAACATTGAATGTGGATTCTAAAATTGAAGAAGAGTAAGGTGAGAAGCCGACGTCCCCCATCCGGCTCTGACAGTTCAAAAGCTGATAACAGCAGCGATTTGGAAGCCATGTATTTGCCATCTGCGGGGGGTCTTGGAGGAAACTCACCACATGCAATGCTATGGCACTGTCCAGTGCAGCAACAACATAGTAATACTTTGTGTCTTCTTGTGTGATGCCCCGGTTGGCCTGGACTTCACCACACAATGGCATTCTCACGCCAGAACTCCGGCAGCTTTAAAGACATGGCGTTAGAAGACCAGAAGATCAGAATAAGCTTAGCTGTCAGAATTAGCTGTCATACTGAGAGATATCTCCTCAAAAATGTATGAAGAGATGTTGGGGCCACCAATGTAGTGAGAAGAGAAAGGATGAAGCAGAATTTCTTCCTCAGTCAGATAACTTGTCAGATTTATGGTAGTTTGAACTACATTTAAGTGGACATAATCAATTTAGCCCAAACTACTTTAAATCCAACAAGTTATCTGGCTAAGCAAGAAATCCTGCTTTGTGAAATACCCCCCAGGAGATGTTTTTTTTGTGGGAGAGAAAACAGGATGTTTTTTATTATATCAGGCAGAAAAAACAAATTCTGGATTCCACCAAGACAAATGTGTCCTGCTCAAAATGCAGCAGGAAGGAAAATAAAGCTTCAAAATAAAAGCACATCTGCCCTGAGAACTGTGACAGACTAACTCACTACAATGCCACATAACATGATGCCTCTTTCTTGAAAATGGTTCGGCCCATAGCTTCCCAACTGGACTGCAGTGGGTTGCACCAGCTAAGTTTCAACCGTAAAGTCGGTTGCAAAGTGCACATTAAATCATACTTTGAAAGTAGCCAGTATTAAACTAACTCTGCGTTCTTTTTCCATTGCACTGCTGCTATTTAGGTTACATTGTTGTTACATAGCTACTAAATAAAAAATCTATCACACAGAATGACGATTTCATCATAGACAACCAATCAATATCATTGTCTGATATTACCGGAACCAACTCGCTGTTCCACGTTTGTTGAGTTTGGGTTACACATAGCTAGTGATTTGTTTTCTCTGTGTTCATGAGTACACTAAGATTAAGATGAGTTTTATGCCAAAACAAATTTATAAGAAATAATTTATTTGCCATTAATTAAGTTTATGATATTGAATGAAATATCTGACCATGCCCCAGTCAGTGATAGTGTCTTCCCTACCCCTAGACTCCAGAGGGTTAAAACACAGCTATAATGAAACCCGTAATGTGCCATTTACGGTGTGATGCATGAAATGTGTTTGCTAGGTAGCTTGCTAAGTATGATTTAGGGATGCGACAGATCAAAAAGAAAACCCTTGTTTGGCTTGTATCATGGTATTTGAATCACAGATCGGATCATTTTTCGGATCAGGAAAAAAGGGAGATAAATACTTTATTGATCCAGAAAAAGATTTAGAAACTATATAACTTTACTTTCCATTTATTACTTAAAGAACTCAAAGCAAAGAATTTTAGCCCCATTAAAATGAACTCACAACTGTTTTGTCTGGGTTTTCACTGCAACTCTGCATTATGACTTCTCTTTCTCATGATCACAAGGTAAACAAAGTTATTTTTCTTCTAAATCACAAAATAAAAGTTATCCTGAGAAAACAAAAGTTGTATTTAGACACACAAACAGCATTTGTCAAGTGAAAGGGGGAAGCGGATTCCACTAAAAATACGACAGCTAAAGCTATTAAATCTATGCAGGCTTGTTTTTTTAAACTGCATCGCCACCTAAAATAAAAAATTCCCCACGTTACACATGGGGGGAATTTACCCTTGTGAGAAATGATTTCCACGTTAACTTTTAAAAAGTAACAGCAACAGTAAAACTATTTCACACTATCACGGTAAAATTTTGTAGTGGTTCAGATCATGTGCTGAACCAGGGTCAGGGGGCATCCGTACTGATCACGTATCAATTATAGTATTATACGGTCTGCTTACACCACTAGTATGTCTGTCAAATTTGGAGTGGTAAAGTTAGGCATTAATTGTAGATGCTTGATAGTCGTTCTGCTACATGAGATGCTCCAGCTCAAGAAATACAAACAGGGTTCAGATGAAACAAATAACGGCAGGGTAACGTACTGTGGACATCATCTACAGTTTGTAGTGGAAACAATCCTTCAGGAAGAGGAGAGGCTGCAGTGTCTTATGTCTTCAAGTATGGTAAAAACTCTGACCGAGACATCACACCACACATTGATGACTTGATGTGGGTATGTCGCTTGATGCTTGCTGGGGAGTTTGGAGTGGTGTCACTGCAGATGCAGAAGGCCTTGATTCACATCTTCGTGGGTGTGGAGGAAGCAGTACGTATCATTGGGGGTGGAGGTTGTGGCTTGTGTGGTTCATACTGTACGTATCTTCCTCAGATTCTGGAGTATTTTGTCAAGCAAGGTATAGTTATCAAACTGTGGAATTCATTCATGAATATTCATGTTCTATATACTGTATGGTGCGAAAGGTAGCTGGGTGTAGTTTTGTAAAAGGTAGTTGGGTAATTTTTTGTATTGATTTGATGACTCCCTGGAGGGTCTTCTTGTCAGCCACGGAGCAGCTAGCATACCATAGCAGGATGCCACAGGTCAGTATGCTTTCCTTCTTATTAAAAAAAAGTATAAACTTATGAAATATGTTATTTAAATAATAGTTGGTTCAGGATTAATTATTTATCCCTGCAAGTGAAGTGTTACCATATATGGCAAAGGTAGTCAGATTTTAGTGTGGATTCTCTGTATTGTCATTCATTGTAGCACAATCATTAAATGTTTTTGCCTGCTCACTGTTACATGCAAGAGCCTGTAGGTGTGCTCTGCTTGTTTTGCTGTGTGTCTTTTCTTGTGAGCAGGTCCAGGAATGCCAGGCATGATATAAATATGCTCTTCTTTGGTGGCAGCCTATCAATGCACTGGGGAGGAGGAGCTATGGATTCAAAAGTGGGCTAGAAGCACAGAGGGAAGAGAGAGACCCTCCTCCATTCTTGTTTTTGCTTCCGAAGGTGTGCTATGTTTAGATGCTGTCTACGGTGAAACTCTGTGCTCCTTGTGTGAATGTGAAGAATTCTCCAAAAAAATCACGAGAGTATTCCTGAACAGCAGACATTTTTATTCCAAAAACGAGCACAAAAACATCATGGCGCAAGTTCTGCCACACAGTCTCTGTACTGAAAAAAATGGAACAAGATGTCTCATATTGGGAATCTACTGATGTTATACCAACATATACCAATAGGTGGAGGAAGAGTTCCAGAGAAAACTTGGCTTATTGTATTTTTACTTTTATACCTGTCAATTACTATTGTCAACAGAATGAGAATTAAAAGATGGACTTGTGATGGTCACCAGCTCTCCACGGTCTAGACAGGGAAGTAGAGGCGCGCCCATACATGCCACCACATAGAGTTCCCTATACCAAGATGCCCTAGGTGAGGGGTGAGTGCCAACCCTTGTACTTTTGATATCGGACATGCGAATATACGGTAGGTAGGTTTTGATTTATGGTTTGTTTTTTATTTAGAGAGAGACGACCAAAATGCATGCCATATTTTTCGTCATTTAGAAAATTTAGAAAAATGTACAAACTAAATCTACAAACTAATCTACGAAGTAATCCTAAAAATTTGTGACATATCATCTACAGAGGGTTCTGATGAAAAATTATTC